CCGTCGCTTTCTCTGCTCCAAACTTCCTCCTCACTGTGGGGAAATCCGGCCCAAGGCCTCCCCGACGCCCCGGGCTCGGTTTTGGGGTGGTTTCACGGGGGTTCAAAGCACCCTCAGCTGTGGGGGAGGGCAGGTGCAGCCCTCCTGCGGTTGCAGGCTCCATCCCACTCCCCCGGGATGCAGCAGCAGCTTTTTCCCTGGCAAGAATCTGGATCCCAGTTACCCCAACCAACCCCAGAAAGCGGCCTGGAGCCCTCGAGGGAGTGAGTTCGCCCATTTGCTGCCCTCACATCTCCGTAAACAGGAAACAACTTGCACTTTTAAACTCAGTTCATTACCTTGGTGGCTTAACGAGGCTGACATCTGCCCGACCCCCCCCGCCCAGGGCTGCTGGAGTCTGATCCTGCTGGGATTTTCTCTTCCTGAGCTAAAAATGTAGCTTTTTGGTTGGGTGGGGTTTTTTGGGTTTTGGTTGGTTTTGGGGGTTTTTTTAACATACTTCGTCACTTTCAGCTGGAAATCTGGTCCCAGCCAGAGAATTTTGCGGCAGCCAGAGCGTCCATGGCCACCGGCCTGGCAAATCCGTCTGCCCCCGGCTCCTCTCCCCCCCCCCCCTGCCCCAAACCTCGGCGAGACCCCAGGAGGTGTATTAATTTGGGGGGGGGCAGCACATAGAGCCACCTCCAAACCTCCCCATGGCTCTCAGGGGCTGTACCCCAACCCTGTGATCCCGTTTGGGGTCCCCCCATCTCCCGGCCTGCCAGGAAGTCAGTTTTGTGATGGGGGATTTTGGTAAAGCCCAGATTTAGGGATTTAGGTTTGGTTTTGTCTAAAACTGGAAGTTTCTGGCTCTTCGGTTTATTATTATTATTATTCTATTTCTTATTCAGCTTACTATTGTCAGTTTATTATTCTTCTTCAGTTAATTATTTATTACCTTGTTGGATTTGCCTTCATTCCTGCCCCATAGCACCGCTTGCTGCCCAGTTCCCAGCGGTGCAGGCCGGGGGGTGCTGTCGGATGTGTTTTGGGGGACAGTTCACCTCCGGGCTCTGCCTCGTGCTGGGAATTGCTGCGGAGCCAGGCTGCTGAGCCTGTAAATCCCTTCCCAAACCACGGTGGGGGTTGTGTCTGCCCCCCTAAAATCTGGGGAAAGCAGGGTTTGGTCATGGTGGTTAATGTCTTTTTTTTTTTTTTTTTTTCCTGCCCGCAGAGCTCTTCTTCCTT